AGAGGGGTGATGATGGGTGGGTGGGGGGGTGGTAAAGGAAATGGGAAGGATATTTTGTGAAAAACAATGTATTCAAAGTCTGTAAACAAATCCGTATAAAATAAAAATTTTTAAAAGACACTTAAAACTTCTTTCAAGAACTACTTTTTTTTTACTTGCTAGTACCAGTTCAGCATAGAACCAGAGCTCAGTAAGCATAGATAATGATAAACTGCTTCAAGGCATTACCTTTTTCAGAACACAGACCTAAGCGTCTTGGGTCTAGTGTACTAATCTGAGGGGGAATGAGTTATAATTAAGTATGGAGGTTTTTTGGTTTTTCTCTTCTTTTCTTTGGAGAAGGAGTGACTTTCACAGAGAGACAGTCTGATGGGACAGTCACCACAATTATCATCTTTACAGTTAAATGGGCTTCAAAGCTGGGCTACATGAAGGGAAAAACTGACAAGCTAGGATCTTCCATTCTAAAACCTTAATCTAAAATTTTTCAGTTTAGTTTGTTAATCAAAAGTACTATTTTAATGAAAAACCTGTTAAAATGCAAATAAAAAAACACAGCAGGAATAAACACTAATTTTTATGACTAATTCTTTGCCTTTTAAAAAATTTGTATGAGGAATTAAAATCTCTCATAGAATTAGAATTAAGGTTTTAAAAATAATTTTTGCTCCTTATCTAAACCCATATTCAAATATAACTGGTGTCTGGGAGAAGGGAGGTGCATTTTAGGTTGGGAACACAAGGAGCTTCCACAGACAAATGCGGGGAGCTCTGCTTCCTTAGCTGGCTGGTAGGGACATGGGAATTTACTATTATCCTTCACATCTACCTGCAGCTCTTATATATCGCATAATACTTTTAAAAAGAAAACACCTGAGAAACAGTATAATATTCACAGCTCCATGCTGCATCACACATTGCCATATACCAGACCATTTACTTCTAGTACATTTCACCAAGGGGGAAGAAGAAAATTGCTTTCATATTAGCAGACTGAAGTGTTAAAACAGCTTACACAAAGTAGAAATCAATAATCCCCTCCCCCCCTCCTCCCCAGGGATTCTTATTCTCAAAAATGTGGTGTTAGCAAGTAAATGTTGCTTAGACTTGCAAGTGCTCATTTTAGAAACATGCAATTGGTACAACAGCAGCAACGTGTCATAGCTCAAAGCACACCTCCTTGGCCAAGTTCATTACCTCGATTTCCTGTAGTTGCTCCTTATTGGTCGTGTACATCTGCTGAAGAGACTCTTCTAACTCTGTGTTCCGATCCAGTAACGTCTTCCCAAGCTCAGCAGCAAGCTGGAGATCTAGGACAACAATCAAGTCGTAGAGTACCATAAATAAGCTCACTTCGACATTTTATACTACCTGTTCTTGAAAATAAAATGCCAAGACCCAAGACTCAAAACCCAAGATAAATAAGGTTTACTTTAGGTTACAATGGGAAGTGGAATGGTACAGAAGAAAACCTAAGTTTAGCTTAAAATTCAGGGAAACAGGGGGCTAGTTTAGCAAGTAAATAACTCTATTACATAGTCTTGTTTATAAGATGTGAAGAACAGAATCTACTTTGTGGATATAGATTCATTCGATCAGGAATTACCAATCAGTATTGCTCCTCAGAAGCAAGGTTGGTAGACATCTCACGTCAGGTATGTTGTCACTGGGGACCAGTTTTGGAAAAATAATTAGGCTGGGAAAGGTGGACAGTCAGAAAAGGAGAGAAAGACCCTCAGTGAGGTGGACTGACACAGTGACTGTAACAACGTGCTGAAGTGTATCGGAGATGGTGAGGATGGCTCAGGACAGAGCAAGGTTCAGATCTGTTGTTCACAGCATCACTATGAGTCGGAGTGGGCTCAACGGCACCCAACGACAACACCATTGTGACTTCTAGATCATGAGCCCAGTTGCTGTGCTGACTCACTCATCACGTGTTCCCACGTGTGCCAGAGCAGAACTGAGCTCCATAGTCTTCCAGTGGCTGATTTTAGGGGACACAGACCACCAGGCCTTTCTTCCAAGGCCCCTGTGAGCAGATTCTAACGCCTAACCTTCTGGTCAGCAGCTGTACATCAACTGTCCTCTAAGGTCGCACATTATCTGCTAATGGGATGGATCTATTCATATCTCAACAGCCACTGCCCCTGGATGTCTAAATAAGTCAAATGAACGGAGGCCATTAGTTAGCTCTCTCCCACCCCAAAAAATTCTTTTCTGGGGGGTATACTCTTTAAACCAAAACCTAGGTGACCTTTTCACAGACTTGATGGCAACTAATTATTGGCAAAATTCCTGTAAACCCAGATGCTAAGCATGCAACTGTCGAAACAAAGACTGCTGTTCCTGGACTCCTAAGAAACCTTGTAAGTTGAAAAAAATGTTTTTAAAAACAATTAAGTTGAGAAAAGAAAAAATACATCAATCCTAAGAGCATATCCAAGTCCACACCATGCATTCTTCTCCTCTTCTAAGCAAACCAGATAAGCAAAGCAGCAACACAATTTTTGAAGCAATAACATGTCAATGGCTCATAATTCCCTTTAACACAAAATCCTAATTCTATTTTAAACCCAATTTCTTTCTCTTCTGAGGCATGTAATCACAAAGACAGAATTAACGTATATCATACACCATTCTAGAAATGAGATTTAAATAATACATTCATTAGTTCAAACACTGTTATTGTGGACTGCTGTCCAATGAGCTCTGGCTTGTGGTGATCCATGTGCATCAGAACAAAACACTGTCCAGTCCTGTGGTATTGTCACAGTTGGTAGTATTCTTGAGTCCACTCCTGCAGACTCCCAACGTGTGTTTTTAGTGGCTTCTAACCTGCAGGGCTCAATTTACAGCACTGTACCAAGTAACACTCTGCTATAGTAAGGGGGCTCTGGTGGCCTCGTGGCAAGTTGTACTGCTATCCTGAAGGAACGCAGTTCAAGGCCACCAGCTGCTCCGCAGAAGAAGGATGGGCAGTCTCCTCTCTTGTGATTAAATTCCTCTGAAAACCTACTGGAGGGTCAGCTATGGGTCAATTCTGACTCTATGGTACACAACAACGGCACACAGGGTTTTCACTGGCTGATTTTCTACCTGGTTGGGAAGTCTTGCCAAAGCGTCAGGGGTGGCCTTGATGATACTGGTGCACCTTGTAGTGTCCCAGTAATATGCAAAGCCCCACTGCACGCCATCTGACAGAAGGGTGGAACACTAACACAGGTAACTGAGACAGTTCTCTGAATAGCACGTGTCATGAAGAGGTGCTCTGATGTACAGGTTATGATGACCAGGATAACATTTTCAAACTAGTCATTTCAAAAGTCTCTCTACCCATAGTATTCAGTCTAGAGAGAGGATATTAGTATACAATTGTGAGCATCATATGAAATAACATAAAAATCATAAAAAAATGCATAAGAAAGTAATTTATAAACTAAACTGCAATACAAAAGCAAAGCATTATTGGTATTAAACAATTCACAATAATTTATTGTTAGGACAGTGGCAGGCTCTAGCTATTTAATGATGAATAAAATGGAGGAGGCTCCTGTTCTCCTGACACTTATGGATTAATTACAAAGCCAGACAGTAAATAAACTTAAATTATGATAAGCAGTAATTATTCCTATGTACATGCACATATCTAACAATCCCAGACAATATTCTAGGTACTGGGGATATAATAAACAATGGAGATAAAAACAATTCCTTGCTCTCATGGAGTTTATTCTATATGTAATATCTCAATAATAAGTGATAAAGAGGAAAAAATGGCAAGAAAGGAGGGCAGGAAGAGTGTGGATGTTGGAGGTTAAAATGTAAGATTATGTAATAAGGGTTTTAAAAAAAACCCAACCCCAAATGAATGACCTAAAGTTGATCTACCCAGAGAAAAGCACTCCAGACGAAGGGCAAAACAAAGGCAAAGATCCCAGGAAGGAAGCACGTCCAGGCAGAGGGAGAAGTCACAGGAGCCAAGTCAGAGACAAGGGACATGACAATTTTGGCTTCACTCTCAATGAAAGAGAATCTAGTCTAGGCTTATGACATGATCACACTGCAATCATGGCTGAGAAAATGATGCTGGCTTGAACCAAGGAGAAAGAGATAAAAGGTGGAGATGAAGAAGAAAAGGAGTAGTATTCTGTCTTCAAAGTAGAGCTAAAGGATTTGCCTAATTGCATGTCAAGTATGAGAAGAAAGGCAACAGAAAACAACATTAGTTAATAAATGTAGAGCCCACTAATACATTAATAAAACTGGCTAATGAACAAGGAACCTTCTTCAGAAGGAAACTTTCAGGTAACAAAATACAAAGAGCCAGACAAAGGATCTGTGATAGGAAACAAGTTGGCCCATTGTACAACTTGACTGAAAGCCAGTGTGGTAAGACTCAAGGGGGGGAAATGGTATGAGATTAAGTTAGAGAAGTAGGCAGACATCAGGTAAAGAAAATTTATCTTCTAGGTAGGTAGAAAGCCATTTCAGCTAATGTGACTACAATATTCATTATGAAAACAGGAAACATTCCACTACATGATTTTAAAACCTTTTAGCGGTACCTGTTCTTTCTGATATTAAAAGTTAGCTTAGAATAAGCAGTAACAGAAAAGTAAAGGGCATAATTCTACTTGGTTAGTTCTCCCTCATTAGGAAAAATGAGGAAAAAACCCACCCAATCATGAACCACTCCAGCTCATTTTAAAACATTTACACCTGTTTTAAATAAAATACTACACTGCTGGTAAAGTAGGTGTTAAAATACATTCTCTCTTTATTTAAATATTAACAATGTCTATTAGTATCATACATTAAGATTTCAGATAACAAGTCTGAAATAACATCTTATATTCTCATGACATAGCATCTTTACAATTTGCCCAAAGCATTTAAATTTTTTTATTAAGGAGCCGTCGTACCTCGGGACTTGGCTGCTAACCGAAGGTGGGTGGTGTGAGCCCACAGGCCGAAGATGTAGCCATCTGCCTCCACAACAATTACAGCCTTCAAAACCTGGCAGGGCAGCTCGGCTCTTTTTATAGGGTTGCAGTGAGTGGGAAATCAGCACAACACCAGTGGGTATTTTAATCTTTCTATCTTCACGAGGTATTTAACCCAGTTTTCCAGATGAGAAAACCTCAAGTACAAAGATGTTAAATGAGCTGATCAAATCTACACGGTGAGTCACAGATGAGACAGAAACTCCCCAGTCATCACTTTGTAACTCTCAGACTTATCAGTCTCTGTGCTATTATCCACATCCACACAGAAGTCCAGCAAAAGGAATCGCCACACTTCTTTGCTACAGGTCAGGAGTCCAAAGTCTCCCCAAGCTGAGACTCTTAATCTGTTCCACTGTTTCTCACACGTGGTAATGAGCGACTACAGAAGAGATATCTGGGGTTTTACTGCCAGCTCTGGCACTCAAAGTGCACAATATCCTGGGGCAAGTTAATATGTTATCTTTGCCAAGTGAAAAAGGAACTATGTATGGCTAAAGATGTACCAGAAATGATTATTTCTGCACTCACAGGTGTGTAACGTGTATACAGAGACCCACAGAGAAACCATCACACTGTACTAAAGGTAAACATCACCTATGCACTCATGAAATCTTTCCTCCAGGCTGTTGTAACGTGGTGAATAACCTCACTGGGATGGACAACCAGCTTACCAGAGAGGCTCTTAACTCGTAATCAAACCTGAACGGAAACCTCTTCCAGAATTTGGACTAACTGGGGACCATCAAGCACTTCTATTCAGTTATGAAACTACTTATCTTGCTTAATATGCCGCCAGAGTATCCCTTCTAGTCCTACAGACAGAAATGCCGTGCTTAGCACTCTTTGTAAATAACTAACAGTAAAGAATTTGAGACTCGTCCTTATCTTAGCCCTTCTCTTTCCAGTTAAACAAAGCCTCAGCCTGGCACAGTAACCTGACGTCTCATCATCGCCTAAATATTTTATAAGATGTTTAGGATAGAATTTTAGCAAGATAAGTCTCAACTACAAGAAAGCACCTGTGAAGTCACACTGTATAATAGGATATTACTTCATCTGTTGGTTTAAAGACTAGGGTCCTTTTATAGGGCTTCTTTTAAAAAACCTCTTTTCCTGTTGTGAAGCATCTGGCTTCCACAACTAAAAGGAGCTCAAAGTTGGCAATATGCCTGAGAAGGTTTTCTAAATAATTAGAGCAGAGAATGGGGGAATATTGAATATCCTTTTTAGCGACATTTTTAATTAAGGCAACAAAGAGGAGAAAGCAATATAGTTATGAAGTTTTGCACACCTGTTCATCT